TAGAATAAAAATTAATACTGAATGTTATTTTGCTGCTGAGTTTGTGAATGAACCTGGTTAAGTTTTAAGTAATGATTTGATAGAGAAGAACAGATTATAACTAAAGTATGGTGTCTTTGCTTCTGTAACTTAAAAATCAGCTCCTAATTTTCTCTTAACCTGAAACAGTTGTCATGATAGTCAGAGACAGATGGGTAGAAATATCTTATATTCTGCTGTTTCTTGGAGATTAAATGTTACTATAAGGTAAAGAAAAATGCGTTGAAGTAGTTCTCCCCTCCAATTCCCCAGTGCCTCCTCTGTTACTTTAAAACTGAGCTGTCTTGGGTTCATCCTGGGAAAAGAAATGTGACTTCAGCCTTGTAAACTTGAATTCAGTTTTTGGCTTGCATAAAGAATACTGTGGAAAAAATGGCAGATGTGTAGCATTGTGGCTATTGCTTAACAACAAAACATTATGTCTTCCTCTCCAATTATATGTACTATAATATATGTCTGTATATTTGAAAGTGATCTCGACTGACTCTTTGTGACTCTGTTGGGTTGGCAGGTTGCAGACAGGATAAGCATCAAGCTGTAGGCACAGTGAAAGCTTTTCCAGAGTCTTCCCCATATGTTTTATTAGTGGCCTTGTACTTGCTGACATCTGTAACCAAAAAAAATATACTTCAGGTTGGCATAATCCCTGCATTAATTTGAAATTAATTTCATTAATGAATGAAAAGACTGAGAAGGGGAAAGTCAATTTATTTTCCGTATTTTTCAGAAAGAAACAGTCTGCAGCTTGTCACTCTTCCCCTTTCTCCCTTTCCATCCTTCCACTGTTCACATACCTAGACTTAATTATTTTTAGATCTGAAAGCGTATTTAGAATAATGTAATTTCTGGCACAGCGCAGCCCATAGCAATTACTAGGTGAAGGTCTCTGTTGAAATCAATAATTTCTGATTGGCCTGGAGCAGTAATTTTCAGATTGTTAACCTCCATGGATCAGTCAGCTACTGTGGAGATACCTAAGAGAAGCACTTCTTTCTTTCGGTCTTTGAATGCACAAATTTGCTCCTCAACTGGAGATTTAATAGGTTTTCAAATGGAGAAAAATGGACCACTAAATTGGAATTTATCAGAAAGAGGTACAGTGTGTTTAAGATAAATGACTGATGATGTATGATCCCCAAGTAAGTTCTAGTATTTCATCATCCCTGTGTTCATGTGCGTTCTGCCTGGCCTGGGCTTGTTTAGCCTAGAGAAGAGAAGGCTTGAGCGGGGCTTAATCGTAGTCTCCGATATCTGTCAGGCCATTATCAGGAAAATGGAGCCAGGCTTTTTCACAAGGGTACTTGGTGGGAGGACAGGAGACAAGGAGCATAAATTGGAACAGAAGGTATTCTGGTTGGATGCGGGAGACCTGCCCTCTGCATGAGGATGGTCAAGCATTGGAACAGTTTGCCCACAGAGGTTATGTAGCCTCCATCATCAGAGCTTTGTGGGGTCAAAGTGGATAAAGGCATGGGCAACCTGGTCTGATCTCCTAGATGACCCTGCTTTGAGCTGGAGGGAGGTCCCTTACAACCTGAATTATTCTGTGATAATTTGCATATTTTCTTCTGTTGAGAGTGTATGCCTTTGCTAAAGGAAGATGATGACCTGTTATCAAGTGATTCTTGTAGTTGAATAGATGATCTGTTTGAGAGAACTGGTCTGGTGATGCTGGTTCCATTGTATTCCTAGAAAGTGTGCACAGGAGACGCTCCTATCTTCGTAAGTTTTAGTGGCAATAGTAAAGAGAATAAAGGAAAACCAGTCTAAAAATGGTTTGCTGCTTTACTTTGTATTTTTTTACTGCAGTCTAAAGTGCTCACTCTTTTTAATCTGAGCTATCAAAAATACATGCATGGTAGAAATTGCATAAATAACAGGAACTGAAACAACTGAGAGCTCTTTCGTTGTCCTTATTTACTCTTGTTAATCAGTAGTGAAGGGTGCAGCAACCGTTGGTCTAAATCATGTTTGCCATGGATTCACATGTACCCCTGGACCAATAGCACCAATTTAAAAGGAGCATTGGTGCTCTCTTGTTACACTGATTTTTCAAGCCTTCCAGAAAACAAGCTTGAATGCAATCTTAACAGAGTTTAACTTTGGTGCTGTGGTGTGTGGGGCCAGCTCTAATATCCAGAGAGCATGGTTTATTTATGGTCTGATTACTTTCAGAATAAGCGTAGTCGTAACTTGATAATAGATGGCATTCTTTTTCTCCAGTAGCATGTTAGAATGTATTGGTTGGAGGTTTTTCCTCTTAAATTCTGTGTTTTCTTTCTTGATGTTCTGCAGAAAGTCTTTACTGAGTTTATTTGCCTGTGATGGTTGTTCATTGATTCTTTGAATACAGCTTGCTTTTTAAATGTGGCAATCCCTGGGAGACCACCTTTGTTTTCTTTAGCAATTTATGTTATACTTTACTATTGCTCATACTAGTTTTTACTGACATTTTCAGAAGACGTAGGATTCTTATAGAAGTGCAGGTCTGCCATGCTTGAATTCAAAAAGATTTCTTTTTTTAAATGGTTAGCAGTAAACTTACATGTGTCTAGGTATGATAATGCAGTAAACATAACTGCTGGTTGAAACAATTATTTGGTCTTTCTCCATACTGCAGAGATGTGACAGCACCTCACCTGCTCCAAATGTCACTGGTGCTTATATGTTTCAGGGAAAGCAATCTGTTTATTTGTCTGTCAGCAGGTGACTCTGCTTCTGCCAAGTAAAAAGGTGGCTTTTCCTCAAGTTACAACTCTGAGTAGCTCTGGTGATGCCACTTGAGCAGAAGGATGGACTTTGTGCTGCAACATGCTGACAAAGAATTGTCTTCAGGTTGTTTCGTGGTTTCTTCTTTGTCGAAGGAAGCAATGGGAGGAGGTTTCACCCAGACCTTCTGCAGAAATGGGTCTCTTAAGGACTGTGTTCCCCTTGGGAGTTACAGGCAGTCTTGGTGTGTTTATGCTGCTCTCTCATGCCCAGAGTTAAGGCAGAGAAGGAACAGGGATGAGTGTAGATAGGAACACCTAAGCAGTGACAGGCAATGGGAAAGATTCTGTGTTTCTGGATTTTGTGGACAGAAAACCTGTTGCTTGAGGCCAGTGTAAGCCTAGTCTAATTCAAGGTCACTCGTGGCCAATGTGAAGGCTCTGTTCTCTTCCAGTTCTCCTCTGTCTCGTAGCTTGATGCATCTTCCTTTTTGGTGCTACTGCTCCCTGGGTCATGCAGCTTCACATGATACTGGTGCCATGTGCCAAAGCAGATGAGGGGGGAGCTTAATTCAGGCAGCTGTCTCCCTCCTGGGCCAGCATGGCTGGTGGCACATGACACAACAAGCTGGAGGAACCTGTGGGGAACAGGGGAGAGAGGCTTTGGGGTGTAGTGTACCCTTGGATGATTTTGCAAGGTTGAGGAGTAACAGAAGCACTGGGCAGTATAGACTGTGTGGGCTAGGCTGCTGGGATTGTGGGGCCCTGTGGAAGTCCTGCTGATGTTGGGAGTCTGTGACTGCATGTAGGAATGCCTGGTGATGTGGGGAACTGGGAAGTTCTGCATGGTTTGGGGTATGAACTCCCTCTCCTGTGCTGTGGGATGTTGAACATGGGAGCTTTGCTGTGCGTTCAGGGACACTGTGTACCCCAAGGTGTTGTGCAGCAGTGGCAGTGCCAGGCCAAGGGATGAACATGGGATGAAGATAGTGGGGATACCATGGTACCTTGTAGGACGAGGTTTGTAGGAAGTGTGGTGAGACGTGTAGAGGGCCAGAGTTTACACTTGAGGATGTGTCGGTGTGCGGCCTGGCAAAGGCATTGGAAAATTTGATTTAGATGTCACTGGAAAAGTCCCATGTGGAGCCATGATCCCAGTTCTGCAGTGTCAGCATATACCTGTTGAAGAGAGAGTTGCTGGCAGCTGCAGCTTTTGTGCACTGTATTGGGTTTCAGCTTGAACACTGGCTGCTGGGTGGTATTTGAGGTGGGGGTAAATTCTCTAATATGAGCAGATTCCAAGAAATTGAGTGAGTAATGTGAGTAAAAGTATTATACTCTGTGTTGGTAGCTCAGCTTTGTCCTGTGCTTCTGCAAAGAAGCTGTTAATCAAATGGACTGTGATGTTTTTAAGTGCATGTGATGAGGTACGTTTGGTTTAAAGTGACAAAGGAAAGAAAATTAATTAGCTAAAGGAAACTGTCTCCTTTTCCATGGGGGAATTAAGGTGGAATATCCAGTATTATACAGTGGTGATTTTCAGCAGGTTCCTTTAAAAGGACAGGTGTGCCACATCTTATGTGCTTTCTAGCTTACTGAAACTTCTTTTATCTGGCTTAATATTAACTGAATATTCTTGCCTCTGTAACCCCAACTTGAGTGAACCATGGATAGATTTGGCTGGATGGCTCTGAGGTACATCTGTGTCGTCCTAATGTTTGATGACATCAGAACACATGCATTGTTCTTAGCTTTGGAATCGATCTTAAAAGCCTTTTATATTACATTTATCTCGTTAAAACAGCCTGATAAATGTATCAATACAATCTTATATGGATTATATCTCATTGAACGGGACTGGGCTTCATGACACAGAAGATCATTCCTATCTTGTTCTTTCTTTAGGTACATCTCTAAGCTTCTTACATCTGTGATGACAGGCAGAAAACATAAGACAGCATGGAGGAAAAGGTGCCACATCAGAAAAGGAAAATAAAAAACCTTTCCAGTGAGAGTGTTCAGCAAAACCATATATGAATGGCACAGGAAAAAGAGCAAGGTTGTGACAAAACAAAAAAATAATCAAGGATCATTAATTTCAGCAGTGCTTTTTTTTTTAGTTTGGTTCTCACTTCGGGCAGAATCAGCATTGTAACTGGTCAAATTTATACTGGTTTTTTTATTATTATTTAATGGTATTTTACCTGCCAAAATACAAATTCTTTTTTTTTTAGAAGGAAATAGTAAGCTAGCATACTAATTTTTTGTTTTAGAAACCATAATACTGCTTTTTGTGTTTAAAATAAGAATTCCTTAATTTCTTGCAGTCTCAAAGGCTTTCTCACAGTGTCAGGATTGAACAGAAGGCCTCTGGTGCTTGAGTGAGGCTGTTGTGCCTTGAGGAGCTGAAAGCCTCTGGGTCTGAACAAGGTGCAGTGCTAGCATACAGCTTGATCTTGGATAGGTATGGTACAGTGAGCTGCTAAGGGTAAATACACATTGTGTGTGGGGGGGGGAAGATTTCATTTAGCAGTAGCTAACATACTTTAGCTTCAGGAGAATAATCTGGTGGGTTTTTGCTGTTCACTGCTTCATCTCAGTGTTAGATGTGTGGCTGTTTAACATTGATACTGTCAACTAGATTTGCACTTGAATGTTTAGGAAGGGTATCTGATAGTGATGTGAGTTCATGGGTTGGGGTTGAAGCTATGACAATCCATAAAAAGTGAATGGAAGTGATTTTCACTTGGACTGATTGTTAGCTCCACCACAGCTATCACAAACCACACACCTCTAGGTACCTGCAGGTCTGGAATGGAAACAGTAGACTTCAAAACTAAATACTAGTACTTCTGGTTTTCCAAACAAGACATGAGAGTCGTCCCAAACAGCAGGGTGGGCAGCCCTAAGTAAAGTTTCCAGGGAGTTGGTGTGATGGTTTTAGGGTGGTTTTCTTTCAACATAAAATCATTTAATACAGTCTGAAGTTGTTTGATTTCTACATCTGCTCCAGGTTACGCTGGTATGTGGCAATTGTGGATGTGCAGTCAATACAACTTTTGTGAAGAAGTAGGTTTAAGTTGTTCGGGATGTGCATGTGTTTTGGTTTTTTAAACCTGTTGTACTTGGATGGGTTTTTGTTTTGTGATCTGTTTTCCCAGAGGAGTGACCACATTGGGTAAAACTCCTTCAGACTTGGTCCTGTATTGCAAGTATTAGTGGAGCACACATGATGGTGACTGATGCCAGATTTTAGATCTTTTTGGAGCAGTTCAAATATTAGTTATGTGGCAACAAGTCTTTGAATTGTTAGTCTATGTTAGTGTGCAGGGTTACTGAGTTTGATGTTGATCGTATTGCCTAGGTGGTTGATATTGAAATAAGGATGTTTAAAAATGGGATAGGTATGTTTCTATCTTAAGTTCATTTTTTACCTCATCCTTGACTAAAACAAATTTCTAATGTGCACTTAAGAACTAGCATGCAGCCAACATCAGTTGGGTGTCAAAAACCGTGGAGTCTGTGGCATGCTTTTGTGGCACATTGTCACAACCAAAGCTCTTCCTACTGAACCTCTCCTCTTTTCACAGGCTACAAAATGTCCTTTTCTCAGTAGGGAGAACCACCTTGCCAGCTCTTCATGCTGCCACATTCTCTGCTCCACAGATGCCAAAAATTTTTTCCCTCAAGTAGTTTGGGTGTCTAAGCTTAGCAGTTGTTCTTGGTTTGTATTTTACTTTGGTAGTTTAATTTGCTGCCCTGAAAACTTGCATGCTACCTCCTGTTATGCCATTGATCTAATAAAAGATATTTGCTCTTCTGTAAGTCTGGCCATATTTGTGTAACCTTAAAACTTCGGGCCTAGGGTTTGAACATATTTCAGTTCCTATTTGTATGCATAAAGCTCAAACAGCCAAAAGCCTAAAATATGAAAAGAGCTTTCTTGTTGTACTGTGCACAGAAAGCTAGGCCTAGTAATACTTGCTGTGGAGATCTTAGGAGTATGTTTCTTGCTTCTCTTAGAAATTTGTCAAACCTTAAACAGGTGTGTGAGTAATTGACCTCTAAAGGAAGCAAAATAACTCTCACATCCTGTGTCCTAAAACAGAATTTCATGCCTTTCCAGACTTGCAGTGCAATACAGACCTGTAGCTCAAGGGTTCTTGGTCAGAGATTGCAAAGAGGGACTAGTGGCTGTCAGATCTTGACGTTTAGCAAGTATAATTTAGTTTGCTTGAAGTAAACTCAGATCTTAAAAAGCAGCATACTGGGTTTTGAGTGCAGCATTGTTGTGTTTTGACTTTTAGCTTAATTCTTCAGTCTTTCAGAGAGAGATCAAGATAAAGAAAAAATGAATTTGCTTTCTTGAAAAGCTTAATGGCATGGTAAAGTGATCATCTGTACTGATAGTGCACGATAGTTTCTAGACTGGGCCTGTCTGAGCTGCTGCACATGCTGTATAATCCCTCTACAATAGAGGGACTCATGTTCAGAAGTGTGTGATGCTTCTGAGCTTCTAGTACCTTCACTGGGAACTGCAGATTCTCACCACTCTGAAAAATCATGGTTTGTATCTTGAAATTACTACGGGTTCCAAGATAAATGTCGAGTATGCATCAGCCTTAGTGACAGGGTAGAAGAGGAAAGTAAGCTTGCATTAAGCAGAGAACTAGTGAATTAACTCTGTTGTGTAGCGTTGAAAGGATGCTCTTCCTTAGAATGGCCTGTGGGAGGTGACATACCTGAGGAGCTGAATAGATAAATCAGTTGGGGTAAGCCACTTGCAGGCAATCCATATTAACATGTCATTTGTTTACAGTAAATGAGTTCAAGTTGAAATAGCAAGTGCTTGCCAACTTTTTCAGATGGTATAATTTTTGAAATATGTGAATATAAGGTGGTAACACTTACTCGTTTTTGCTCTCGTTCTCCACTTTTGTACGCTAATTGTGACCTCACACTGAAATAGCTCTAGAAATCACCAAATGCTATAATAAGGAATTAAACCATTTGGTATCCAAGATTTTTATTTCACAAAAGTCTAGGATACAGAGGTGAGATTTGTCCTACTTCTTCCAAAGAAAAATTTTGGCCAGCTGAGAGGATCTGTGTTTACTGGTGCTTAATACACAAGCCAAGTGCTATGCTTATTTATGTGATTGTTCTTTGATTATGGGGGGGGTTTGTTTGTTTGTTTTACAGCTTTAGGTGAGGATTCAGAATGGGAGACAAGCCTATCTGGGAGCAGATTGGGTCCAGCTTCGTACAGCATTACTACCAGCTTTTTGATGCAGACAGGACTCAGTTAGGAGCAATATATGTAAGTATCTACAAAAAGGGGGCCGGGGCTCTCTCCCGTTATCTGTCTAGGTTTCTCTCTTTTGATGTGTGGGAATACACAGAGTGGGACAGTGGGTTTTATCCTGACTCCAGAATGTCAGTCAGTGCAATCACACTTACTCAACTTTTATTTATTGCATTCCTTTTACATTTCACTTCTATTTTGAGCTTTGTTTGCCTTATAGACAGTCAGACTCATAAAAGCCCCGGTTGACTGTAGACAGTAGCTTGTAGTGGAGAAGGCTGATGATAATCCTGTGATGAAATTCTCTGTAAAAACAAATACGCTAGCCTTAGTTTGCCATTAATGTACAGGCGTGGACTTGCCTGGGTCTCTCCTGAAGTGGGATGTCATTAAGTCCTACTCTGTGTTTAGCAGTTCTTGCAGGTGTTTTTTGGATCTCACGCTGTATTAATCCTTTAAAATTTTTAATCCAGTTTAAATATTTAGACTTTGTTAAAGAAATGTAAATTCAGTTTAAATTTCTTGAAAAATTAGGGTTTTATTTTTGCTCCTTATTTGGGGCAAAATAGATTGGTTTCCAAAATTAAAGACTGTAACTAACAAACTCAAGGAACTCAGCTTTGAGTTTTGGGGGAAGACTCCTCCAGAACATGCAGAGTGCTCTGCCTGTGGAGTTGATTACTGGTGGTGAGGAATCCTGCTGGGTGGCTGAGGCGTTTCAGCAAGACACTCAAGTCTTACAAGCTGTCTAGCAGCATATCCTGTTTTTCATCTGCTGGGTGAGTTGTATGAAGCTTCATCAAGCTCTTGAGGATTGAAACTGTTGCATGAATGCCATCTGACACCCCACACCCCTCCTTATACCTCAGCAGTATCCTCCAGCACTGATAGCATTTACTCTGTGGATTGTTGTGTATTTGCTATCTGCTAGATTTTTGCCTTATTTTGGCAAAGAAGCTCTGTACAGAGAGCCTATAAAGCAAGAAAAACAAGTAGCCTGTGTTCAATCCACAGCTCTAAATAGGAAGGCTCTTAGCAGTTTCTGTCGTGTAATTACCAAAACAAATTCAGTCCTCAGAAGACTGATAAGTACAGGCTAATTTAAATTCCTGGAACCATGGCCTTCCACACAATCAACTCCTGGGATTTTTTCCACCCTTAGGGTCTTTCTGCCTTTCATCATTCAATGGAGATACCTATGCAAATGCAGTCAGGAGAACTGTTATGCAGGTCACCGATGTGTATTGTTTTGTGGAGTTCCTAAACTATGGAGGAAGGGACCTTGTTTTTTGTGGCTAAAATGCACCAAGGTCACAACTTGTCTAAATTAGAGGAGGTTCTGCGGAAATGCGCTTTTACTGATGAGCTTTTTGCCTTCTGAGACCCCATGGGAGCAAACAAATTTTACAGCATGCAGGAATGCAGCAGGGAGCTCTTGGATTTGTTTTGCATTCCTGTATGGCTACTTCCACCACAAGGTTCAGTTTCCTCCTTTAGTGCTGTAATCCGAGTCAATTGAGCTTTTGTCACCTATTCCAGGTAGGGATCTGGGCCAGTCACTTTTGCTATGAATTGCTTGAGTTACATGAGTTGGAGCACTAAGTCAAAGACTTGTTTTACAGTTGTCCTCCTGCGGTTGTTTTGCAGGAAAATGCTGTAGCTGCTACTTTTCCTCTGCTTTGGGTGTGTGACTACTTATAACGAAATATTTTCTTATTTTTATGCTGTTTTCTCATCTGTAGGGCTTTTGAGATAGAGGAGAGGTTGCTTTTTGTTCTTGAAGCAGTTGCTCCCAGATTGTTGTTACAGCAAACGGCTATGGAGGTAACCTATAGCAGAGAGTCAGGTGGACACTAATTGGGTACAATGGGAAGTTGTGGTGTGTTTCAGGAAGAGCATATTTCCTCACCAACTTAATCTATGTCCTGTGCTGCTCTTTGAAACATCAGGATGGTCCTGCACCACTGTGCTCACCTGCTGATTGCTGAAGTGGATTTGGTAAGGAAGGTTCTGGGTCCCCTCTGCTTTTGTGGCTTTCCGTACTTGAAGGCTGTAATTTGATTGCCTGACAGGATAGCCTCATTCTCTGGTACCATCACCTGGCTTCTCAAATTATCAGTGTCAGGGGCTGCTGTCATGTATGATGCAAGTGGTGTTGGCCAGATGACTTGCTACGTGACTTTAGATTACACAATCTAAGTCTATTTCATCCTAAAAGGAACACGTCTGAACTCAGGAGACTGTATTCAGAGGCTTTTCATACTGCTTTCAGTTGCATCTGTGACCCTGCAATGCTTCGTGCTGTTGGCCCTGGTCCCCTTCTTTGTTCTTTTGGCTCTTGCTGCACTATAGTTCCTTCTGATGTATATGGAGGACCAGAAGCTTTTTTAGAGTGACTGTGACTGTTGTACAATCACAAGTTCAGCACAGCATGCGTGGCTGAAAGTGGCGGCTTTTTGATATGGCGTGGGTCAAAAATGGCCTGGAAAATCTACCAGAGAGCATACAAATGGAGTTCTTTGGAATCTGCCATTTTCTGCTGAAACATTCAGAGCTTCAGTGAGAGTTGAAGACTGGATGGGAAAGAGCTGGGAATCATGTTCCTGTAAGTTTTTAAACTCAAAAAGGTGGAAGGAATAGCCATCTGTGATAGGACGCACAAGAACTTGAGCTATTAGGTATAGGGCAAGGGTACTATTTGGAGGTGGCAGCAGGCAGAATTTGAGCTCAGTGGGAACCAACTTAAATAAATTTGCCAAGGTTTAAAACTGGATTTGAAAAGGCAGAGCTATGTCAACAATAGGATATTGCTACTCTGGTTTAAACAGAGTATCATAAGTTGAATAGAGAGTTTCTTGCTTGTTGCTGTTGCACCTGACACAGCATGGTAAGAATGTCCTCCCTTGTATACTGGAAGTGCTTGTAGGCTGAAGGGCCTCAATCATTTCATGCCACATAGGGCAGTCTGTTAGAAAACCTTTAGAGGCACATTCTGTTTTTCTGGGTGTGAGTAGGATATGCAAATCAGTACCTGAGAGGAAAAAAAACTGGTGGTGCAACTCATTTTGTCAGATTTCCACATATACTTTTGTCTCTCTCCATGCTTGACTTTGCATCCATAGGATTTTTTTTTGTATCCTTTAGATTTGCTTGTGAAAGCGAACTTTGATCCCAAGGCAGGAACTTTTTTTGCTGGTAGAATCATGATAATGAGATTTAGTCTATTTAATTTCTAGTTGATTATTCCAAACTTTTTCAGTTGCTCTTTGTTTTGTGGGTTTTTTTCCATCTCCCTTTAAGGTAGTTTCTAAATAGCTGGATTCTGAGGATATATGCCAAGTAAACAAAGTCTCTTACCAGGGTTGCTTAAGGGTTACCTAAGCAGGTTGATGATTTTTTTTTTCTTTTCCCCTCAGATTGATGCCTCATGCCTTACGTGGGAAGGACAGCAGTTCCAGGGCAAAGCAGCTATTGTTGAAAAACTATCTGTAAGTCTGTAATCCTTACTGTATGTTCTGGGAAACAGTTCTGAAGACTATAAATTAGTTGCTTCTGAAAATTTGAGTTAGACTTCAGTAGTTTAAAACTCTTGAACATGGGACTTGTGCTTCCAACTTTTCGTCTTCAGAAGAATGTTACTTGTGATTTAATTCTATGTAGTGGAGTGTTGCATTAGTGGCTCTAATGGTGGAATGTTAATTGACTCAGTTTGCGAGGTTATTTTGTGACTGCAATTGCATTTGACATTATTGATTTTATTTTTTTTTAAAGTATAGTTCATAAGCTGATCCCAGGATCTAGAGGAATGAAAGGTGTATTTTTATTCTTTTAAAGCAAGCCAAGGAAGTAGCAATAGTAAACCAGTTACTTGGATCTGCCTGTCACAGAGGCTAAACATGTTATTGCAAGGAACAATTTGTTTTCTGATACATAAACTGCAAATAAGTTCTACAGTGGAGAACCTGACTTATCCTCAATGCAGCATTTGTTAGCTGTTCAGATATCAGCAGTTATGGTTCAGGACTTTGAAACCAGTGCTTCCTCTTCAGCAGTGAGAGGAAAGCATTTCTTACCACATAGAGACTGAAACTCCATTTAGTTAAACTTGGAGAAGTTTTATCTTTTTTTTAGTAAATTCATGCTTCTTTTATAGAACTGGGTGTACTTACAAGCTGTCATCAGACTAGAAAGTTTGTTTCACTTGCAAGATATGTGGAGGGTGTGCTTTAGGTCCTCGGGCATTCTGCTCAGAGCACGGTATATCAGGCAGATAGACCATTTTTGTTACACATGGAGGAGAAAAATCTTTAACTTGGATGCTTGTCTTGTTGCACAGCTACTGTTCCTGTGTTTTGGAATCACTGCTTTCATCCAGGACATCTTTAATTGCGAAGGCTGAGGTTTGCCCTTGGATCTGTGTTTTAGGTGCCTGCGTTGCCTTCGAGAAGGCCAAACGCCTCAGAAATAGCAGAGCTTGCAACTGCTCGCTTCTAGATGAGGAGATACTCAAGCTCCGGAGTTGCTTGTCTGTGTACTCAGTGTTCTTTATCCTTCTGGGCTAGCAGCCATTTAGGTACCCAACCAGCTAAGCATTTGCTTGGCCACAGTGTCTCAGACTGCTGCCTTGGATCTGGCCCAGTGCAGATCGGCCCCTTTCCCACCAGAGCGTTACTCATCTTTACCTTCCCTGTCTGTGGTGCAAGTTGGACTTTCTGGATTCATGTGTCTGCTGCACAGTCTTGCTTGGTGAGTGAAGGCATGCTATATTGCCTCAGGGGTAACTCCTTCTGACTTGTATCCATCCATCTGCTTAAAGTAAGGAAGAAATGCAGTAAAATTATTCCATGCCCTTCCACTGCCATGGCTTATTACGGGGTTGTATCAACTTACTGTGACTCTAATGTCTTTCAGCATACCTCTGTCAGCACTGAGCTACTTGGGCTCTGTTTGCTGTTTCAACTTAATATGCTCACCTACTCTGTGCTTCTGGAGCTTCTTAGTCAGTTGAGCAGATCACTGAAAGTTTGACACTGAAATTCTTTTGCACTTCTATAGCCTTTTGTTCTTCAATGCCTGGCTAATTAATCAATGTAAGCACCAAGAGGGAGGATTTTCTTTTACAGCGAGTTCTCTGGTGTGTTGCAGCAACACTATGGCACCTTTTCAACCTACTCTGTCAGATGATGCTAATACAGTAGGCTAAGGTTGTAAAGACATTGCTTTGCCAGCACTGGTGCACCTGTACCTTTTTACAGAGTGGGACTTGACACTTCTGTCTTGATTGGTGCTGGACTTAGGAGTTGTTTCAAATAGAGTGCCTGCCCTTATCAAGGGGGCAGTGTGATTTACATTGAGCATTTGAGATAATCCTGTAGTTCTACAAATCTCCTGGATCACGGAGGAGGCTGGGACAGGTAGTGTTGTTGCCAGGAGTGAGTTAAAGCTACTCAACTATATTCTTGCAGAATTTCACTCACCTGACCTCAGGGTGGATTCCACCATTTTGGTAGTGAAAGTCCAGAGAAGTTTTAGTGTCAGAGAACACTAAAAGCCTTGGTTGTTGTGTGACTTCTCACTTGTTAGTCACTTCTATTGTGCTCTTCATATCAAGAAATGCTTGTCTCCAGTACAGATGGATGTCCATAAGCAACCATCCTTTTGAGGTAGCTTCTGTCCATCTTAAAAACCAGTGATCTTTCCTATCGGCTGACCCTAATCTTTCCAGAGGGATTTCCCCCACTGCATCACATGAGTAGCTCATTTGGCTGGCCAACCATTGTGGTCCTGTTCTCTGAAGGGGACAAGCAGGTGCTTGAAACAGGCACTGTCTTACCCAGCCTTGTCTTTGGTTCCTTCTCACCATTTTGCAGAGCTCTTGACTCTGAAGCCTTTCCTTCCTCCCTGTCTTCTCTCCCCAGTCTCACCTCTCATTGGTATCTTGTCACTCTGAAAGCTGAGTTCTGGATACAACCACACTCATTTCCCTTTGTCCCTCTGCCTTTTCAAGAGACTCTTCTTGCAGGAGTTGTTCAACAAGAAGTTGTTGTGCTGAGGTGGGACCAGGCTTCATAGTACTCTTCTGTCAAAGGAAGGGTGTGTAATGTCCCAGCCTATGCTTGTGCAGGCTGTGCGGGCACTTTGCGCTTTCAAGTTTGGGTTGGTGACCCTGGAGAATACTCTGCTGGTAGTTCAGAAAAGACTGCTCTGGATTTTTTTTTTTTTTTTTGGTTACTAAATGTCTGTTACATATTACAAACCAGTTGGCTCACTTCGCAGTTCATAGTAGGTTGGGATTGTTCTCCCAGCCAAGAGGAAACACTGCAAGCTTTATTAGAGAGTGTTCTTGAATAGCATCCCTCTGATTAGAGGGCTGTTCCATACACTTCCTTTGCTTCCCCAAGTCCTGATCCTTCCACAGTTTCTGTGTTCTCTATTATCTAAGGATTTAGCTTCCTGGTATTCTTCCTAAAGCCTTATGCTTGTGGAGCCAAGACTGTACTTCACATCCTTGACAGTAGGACTCTGGTCTCCTGTTCTTGTACTTAGGCCTTCCAGGAAGTTGTTCAGGCTCCTTCCACTACAGTGAAATGCAAAACTTGTCAAATTACATGTTTGGGTCTGCCTCAACCTGTTAACAAACCAGGGAAATGAAGCAAAGGCATCAAAGTGCAACCTGAGGTTTAAGTGACCACATGCTGCTGTCCGTGCAGTGCATGGACTCTAGCTATCAGCCACGTGGTCACTCAGAGCTCCATCCATGCTGAACCGCCACTTCTAAAGCATCTAGCATTAATGCAGCTTTTGATAGAACAGTGCCAAAATTCTATTTCTGTGACAGGACTCTGAGATCCCCTAGATATTTGATGTTCACCACGTGGAGTCATCCATGGTTGGAATGTGAATGTGGTCTAAGTTGAAAGAGAAATTACTCCCCAACGTCTGGTGTTTCTTAAAATGTGTTCCTTGCACACTTAACTCCAGACATACTTGCATCTGCTACATGAGCATGGAAAGCTTTTTTCTTTTCAATATGTGTGCTTTTGATCTCTACCTCCTTCCTCCTCCTTTTCCTCTGTTCCGGCCTGGTACATGGCAAAGATGGTGCCTGTTGCTGTGTTGGTTCCCCTCAGGTGCTGTTACCAAGGAAGGAAAAAAGAGGAGATGTGGATATGTGGATTTCAAGTCCTGAACACTGGTTCTTGGTCAACCACCTTTCCTTTCTATTCATAGCCCCTATAACAAAGAGGCAAATTTGGAGTTGTCTGGTAAACAATCTTTTAACACTGTTAGGAGCAGAGAAGCTTTGTGCCTTCATCATATGAACTTGCAGCTTGTAGATGAACTGAAGCTCTTCAGGCAGTGTCGTTAGACTAGGAAAAGGTACTGCTTAACGTATATGGTGACATATTTAATGTCTTGGTGCTTGAGAAACAACTGCTATGATCAACCCAACCCGAGTAGTGTCATTGCAAAAACTCTCCGTGCGGTACTACCAAAATAGTCTGATGCCTCATAATGTTGGATTTGCTCAATCTTTGTTTTCCAAGTTAAATAATGCAACGACTGTACATTTCCTTATTTTGCTTTCTTTCCATTGCAGAGCCTCCCTTTCCAAAAAATACAACACAGCATCACAGCACAAGACCACCAACCTACACCTGACAGCTGTATACTCAGTATGGTAGTGGGACAGCTTAAGGTAAACTCTTTCCATTACAGGTTAACAAATGCTTATGTCTTAGATTTTTGCAGGATTCTAAATCATCCGATATCTGAAAACATTAAAATGCTCTCTTGGGTGGGGAAGGAATGCTGGTAAGCTTGCATTGGGATGTTATCCTTCTACTGTTCAAGACTGTCAAGAAACTGCTCATCCCTTCAGATATTTAGCACTAGGTAAAATACCTTTAATTTGACAATCGTATGTTCCTGCCAAGCAAAGTACCATGGTTTTTACTGTGTGTACAAATATCATATGGGCTCTAGAAGCGTCAATACTTCCTTTCCTATGTTGCACTTAAAAGCATCGTTACAGCATTCTTGGGCAACATAAGCACATCTAGTTTAATGTGCTTTTTGATGTCATGTATGCATTGAGCTATGATTTAGCAGGCTTTTTTGTTAGCGACAACCCTTCAGTAAGACCGTGTTTTTTCTTTGCTGTCACAGGACACAAGAATACAGTCCTGGTGTTAATGCAGTCCAGTACCTCTGTAGTCAAAACTGGTTCAGCAATCGGAGTATTGCCTCTGAGCTCAAACACTGTTGAAACAGCTCATTCTTATGAAGAAGTCAGATTATTTTTCAGCTGTACTATGATTACATTGCTGTTTAAGTTATACTACTGAACTGTGTAAACTTACCTAGTCTCCTGTTCCTTTGAGGAAATGTTGCATCTAAATATACCAGGGCCACAGACTTGTAAATTAATGAGACTACTTACTAATGAAAGAAGTTGTCCTGGAATCTGCAGAAAATATCCTGAATTTAAAGTCAGCTGTAGGCAGAACTTGCTCACAGTGGGCAGTGTTTATTTAAAAAGTGTGAAATTACATAGCAACACTTAAAATTATGAGTTAGTTTTGTCAGGGTTTGGTCCAACTATACAGTCAAGTCAGGACTCTAAAGCCATCCAGTCTTTAGAGTTACTTGAACCCAGTTTCTTTTAAAAAAGCTGTTTAGGTTTCCTTTTCCTGTTAACTCTCAATGGCACCTCTGGTATCAAAACATTCAAACTTCCACTGACTGTACTGTTAACTAAGCAAACATAGGACTGAATGTTTGAATCTGCTTGCTTAGCTATTCTCCTTAATTGTTTTGGGCTGAGCAGTTAAGAGCAGTTCCCGGTGTATTGCGTCCATTTCTAAGTCTAACATAAATAGCTTTGGCTCTCATCAAAGTTGCTCCTGCTTCCTAGCTGCAAGTTGGATTCCAGCTTTCTTGTTGCTCAATCCCACCTGTACACACTCTGAGGAAAGACAGCCACACGTGGCCACGGAAAGCACTGAATTGCAGGACAGGTATGAAGTCAGACATGCTGATCTCATCTGTCTTACTCTTGGACATGCGCAGAACTCGATGTCACCGGGACTTTTTGACTCAATGTCTTGGGCCAGTCACATCGGCACCTGGTTTTGCACAGTCATGTTTTTAAGGTTATTGCACAATCATTAAGCAGATCACAGCTTGCAACAGTGATTGTGTTGAATCCTGTGGCAAGATACAAAGTTCTTAAAGATTCTGTAAGCCTTTTGGGTTTTCTCCTTCTTTAGTATGGTCATTAGGGTTGTAGATGCATTCTGGGAGCTTTCCATAAATACTGTGGCTTGGAGTAGTATTTCTTACTGTGCTGTTTTTATCCTCTGAATATTCAGCAAGCTGGAATTACTCAGAGTAATTCAGGGATCACATGCTAGTGCATCTAGGTACTTGGAACTAGCATATTGGATTAAAGTATGCCTATTGGCATGATCAAATCCAACTTGTTTCTGAATTTTTAGTAGGAGAGACAACATTTTTCCACTCTTCACATGTATGCATCTCCAATCTTAGCTTTAAAAATCACATTTTAATGCCTGAGAATGCTGCTCCTCACTGAGAAAGTGTCCAGAAAGTCAAAGTCGGCTTGGAACTTGACTTCTTGCTTCTGCCTAGTGTGATACTTACACATGTGGATAAATGAAATATGCTACAGACTGTTACTGATTGACACATGCAGTAACCATTTCTGCCAGTACATGAACCTGCCTGACGTATGTAGAGAATACTTTTTGTGCTAATACATACAAGTTGACAGCCATTTTAATGCATCTCAATGCTGTTCTTGGTACAGTACAGTAACTGAGAACAACTGGGCTCAGTTAGTGCATTTTAACAAGTGGCTCATCTATAGCTCCAGTTGAATGGGGTACACTTTAACACGCAAACATGGAGCTGCATACTTAGTTTTATTTAAAGGTTGCCTTAATGGTGTGGCTGTTCAGCTCGTATCTGTTGGTCTTGAGGAAAACTGTAGAGAAATTTGCAAAAGGAAGGGCACTTTCGAGACCATCGGTAGCAGGGTTTGAAGGGAAAAGCCATCCTTTTTATGGGACTGTGAGCCAAATTCTTCAAAGCCCAGTGCAATTAATGCATATGCTTTTGAATTCTCTGCAGTTTTTCAAAACTTGTGTTGTTTTATGTAATGAAGGAGCATGCATAATGCTTTCAATAGAGTAATCCAAGAAAATAATGCTAAAATACCTGTAACGTGCCCTTTCTAAGAAGTCATTCTTGCCATGATATTTAAATGGATTTCCTGAGGCCTTAGTTGCTTGAATTGCTGGTCTCAAAAGTTCAGTGGAAACTCATTTTAAGTGAGCTGGGCACATCTTGTATTTCTAACTTAAACCATTATATTTTGATATTGTTTGATTTTAGGGGAAAAAAACAAACCAAAGCAGAAAAACCTTCTACTCTCCCTGCATATACTGTGGGGTGAACTGTTAGCAAATTGTCACAAAGCCTCAGCTCTCAACTGTAGAAGAGAGTTCTGAAGAAGTAATGGGGCCAAGGACTATTACTGTCAAACTTTGTATTTCCTTTACCAGAGTATTATGCCTTCAGTGAACCTGCAGGTTTGGGTTGTTTTAAGCCTTTGGCCTATCCTGCTGGAGGGGGATTTAACTGGGGTCAGTTGAAATCATTACTGGTCTGTGACAAGGTCAGGATGTGTATCTGCCTCTATGCGGCTCCAGTCTACAGCCTGGCATGCTAGTACCGATATGGTAAACAAATAAAAAAAGCAACATCTTTTTGGAGCAGAATAATCACCTGCACTGAGGGGACCAGACACAACAGCTTCTTGGAGAAGATGTTAGAGAGTAGTAGAGCATCTAAAGTAGGGTGAATGTCACTAGTGAGGATCTAACTTGCTGGCAGAAGCAGTACAGTAATCGCTTTCATTGAAAAAGCATATTTACAAGTAAATGTATGAAAGATCCTCTTTAATGGATGTTGGGATAGGTGGTAATGTTTTTTGGTTTTGTTTTTTAATCCTTTTGCAGAGGTATAATAAATATACCTCCAGTTATTCTAATTCTGTTATCAGTTTTTATTGCTATTCACTGTCTGGGTACAGGCTTGCTTGCTTCATCTAGGAAGAGTAAGCATCAGTGTAAGCTTTTAGAAGTGAGTTTCATTTGGTGTGTTGCTACTTTGCCAATGTTCATCCAGAATGTCACCCAGTATTTTCAGTGTGCTTCACCTAGTAACATATTTCTCCTGTCATGCTTAGGCAGATGATGACCAGGTTCTAGGCTTCCACCAAACCTTTTTGTTGAAAAGTTTTCAAGGTGCCTGGGTGTGCACCAATGAAGTCTTCAGGCTAGCCCTCCACAACGTTTAACCCTCTACCTTACCTCTCTTCCATGCAGTCCTCGCTGTCCTGGTTGAGTAAGGAGTGCTTTCTTCTCGCTCTTCAGTTGAGCTCTGCTGAGAAGCATGGCTGTGGCTTGTGTGTTCTCAGAGCAATGTGGCAGATCTGTGGCTCTCCCGGAGAGTGTGAATTTTGAAGTGATTGTTGCAGAATTAATTGTGAATAACTAATTGTTATGCAGTGTTGCCTAGTCTTAAAAGGGAAAGGAAATTTGCAATTAAAATCACTAGATGTTTTTGTAATGCATGCTGAACACTTAAAGCATTGCTTAAAGCCTGTTAAATGAGGCTTAACATCTGAAAGAACTTGCTATCTTAAGTAATTAGCCTTTCCTTTGAGATAAGGATAGCTGCAAGCCTGCAGTTCAATTGACAGTTGCTGGGGGGGGGCTGGTGAAAGAGCAAAACTGTCTCTCACCAGACAAGACGAGAAGAGTCATGTTTTCCTACTAAGTTTTGCAGCTAAACTTCGATTACAAAGTAGTGTTGCATCTAATACTCTGACATGACCCATGGTTCTGTGAACTGAGGAGTTTCTACAGTTATGAGCCTCCCGGTCAGAAGGGATGTAGAAAAACTGGAAGAGGTCAAACTGCCAAGTTTGCCAGTGTTTGAGCTTATTGAGCTGGCAGAGGAGGTGGATGAGGGCAATCTGCCTGAAATGGAGGTGGAAAGTAGTTGACTACTTCCAACAACCTGAAAGCAAACTCTTCTTGGTGGTGCTAGACAGTGTTAACAAGGGACAGTGGTTGCAAACCATAACTTGGGAGGTTCAGATTGGACACAAGGGAAAGTTTGGTTTGTTTTGGGGGGTTGTTTGTGTTGTTCCCCCCCCCCGCTCCCCCCCCAAGAAGGTTAAAGCCCTGGGAAATGTTGCCTGGACACATTGTGAAACCTCCATTCTTGGAGTCTTGGAAGACCATAAAGCTGTGGCTGATGCAATGCTGCTGGTAGTCCTGCTATGAGCATGAGGCTAGACTGGAAACCAGAGGATCCTTCCAATCTGATTCTGTGACTTTTTAAATTTTTATTTTAATTCAGGAATGTCATGAAACAATTTGAACTGTATAAAGGAAAGCTTTGTACAAAACATAAAGCCCCTGTGTTTCAAGCCTGGGCTCGCATCTGGAATGCAAATTTTGAGTTGGACATAGCTAAATTGGGAGTGGAAAGAGTAAAGATTTTCAGTGAGGTTATCTGAGCTGTGATGAAGATCCAAATTAAAATGGGATAGCATTAGTCTATGCCTTCTAGAGCATCTCAAGTCACTCAACTGTGGGTTTTTGCTATATCTTAATAGGACATATTCAGAATTTTGTGAATGGTCTATAAATTATTTCATTTGCCTTAAATATAGTCTAGGATTTTCCTTTGTTTTAAGGTATACTGTTCCTCTATGCTGTGAAGACATAACATGAAAGGAATAAAGAAAGCAATAATGTGTGACTTCATTGTGGAATTTGCCATATGTACAACAGCAAGTGTTTGGGGAAGAATTCCCTTTTAATCTTTTTTCATGTGTCCAGTCCTGAATTGCATATGAAAGGAGGAAATTCTCTTCAAGCCAAAGGATTAAGAGCTGCAGTGCAGCTAGGCTTATCAGAAATTGAGGAAACCTGCAGTAAAACTAGTCTGGTGGTGATATGTTTTTTTACCAGAGTTACATTTTTAAAGTGTACTCATGTCAGTAATGACATGCTCAAATTTGGTGTGAAAACTACTTATGCAACTTGTAATAGATGCCTCAGTAACCTAAGAAGAGGAGACCATAGGGCAACTGAGAGTATACTAAATGCTTATTACTGGTTGTGATTAGAAGTGATTCAAGCTGAAATGAGTCTGCCTGGCTGGTTTAAACTAAGCCATTAGAAAGGAGCTGACACAAATATGAATTCATTCCAACTTAGTCAAAAGGGATAACATTAATAAGATGCTTTACAAAGTCATGTGTCAAACTTTAATGTACAGCGCTCTGATGCTACTCAATTTTCTTAAAGATTCCTTCATGCCCAGGAACCTGCCAACTATCAAGCAGTAGTAGACTATACTAGGATGTAAGTGTTATATTTGATACCTAGGAAAAGCTAGAAGAGGCATAAACCCATGGGTTTCAGCTCAGAGGCCACCTCTTCAGGGTGGATATGCAAGCATCTTTTCTGGACAGATCTAATAATGATAATGCTTCCCCTGAAATAATTGGCATGACTGCTGTCATATGTGCTAATGAACTAGATGGGTGGCTGGTCTAATCAGCATAATTCCTTGTGTTCACATTGTGCCGATTGTTAAGGAGCCTCTGCCTAATGCAAAAGAAGGTGTATATCGATGTGACAAAAAAGCTGCCTGGTTCATCAGCCTGTTGAACAGTGACTTTATCGGCACTTACCTTGCTTGAGGATTTTTCTTTCATTCATTTGTCCACTGAACACTTGGACGTGCTCATAATTCTGGACTTGTTGCCTTCGTAATTTCTGGCTGTAGTAGTTTCCTCATTCACTTTGTCCTTCATGGTTTTATAGTAATTTATCTCACCTGTTCTCCCCACCCTGATCACACTTTTGCAAGCTAGAGAGTCATACTCAATTTACTTGAGTAGGAAACTGCCCTGTAGCTGGATCATCTTTCTTGTCCTTCTCTGGCCTTTCCTTACTGTATCATTTTAATTTCTTTAAATAAGAAATGCATGCAGGATTTGATATGTGGGTGCTCTCTGTGCATTTATGCAGTTGCTTACTTACAGGTTTTGGTTCTGTGTTCCTTTCCCAATAACTGCTAACACTGTGCTTGCCTTGACATCTTTTGAGCTCTCAGCTGGTTTTAAAAAAATAAATAAAAAATTGTCCATCATGATTTCAGTATCACTTTCCTGAGAGGCCATAGCTAATCTAGGGCCCTTTTTGCTTTTCCTCTGTGGATTAGCATATACTTACTGAAACTGCACTTCGTCTATACCGTTTTATTTACTAGACAGTTGTCACTGTGAAATCCTTGCAGTGGTTTTAGATTTGAATGCTGCTTTTACATGCACTCGATCCTACCAGTGCTCTGGCAGACTTGCTGTTTTCTGATAAAACTGATGTCCTTAGCAAGTTGCTCCTTGAAGCTGACTTGTTTCACAGTCAACTTACCACTTACGTGAATGTTACTTTTTTAAGTAAAGATTTTTTTTTATTTTGTAGTCTGCTTTGCTCATCATCTTTTAATTTGCTGTTCTTGGTGGACAGCAGCAGAACATTGCGAATAAACATTCAGCACTTTGACAGTCTGTTTCATGTGCTGCTCTGGCTGCTGCTTTTCAGTGTGTTTGGGTTTTTTTTTTTTATGCATTTCCCCTTATTTCAGAAGCTGAATAATCATGTGCTGAAAGAATAGAGCTTAAAATCCTCCAAAAATGCTGAATTGAATACACTATGGTCAGTAATCAGAAGACTGTTTTGTAGCTTGGTCCTGTGTGCTGCTCAGATTAAATCCTGTTGTGTTATTTTTTTTTTTTTTTTTTTTCCCCAAGCTGATTTGGGAATCATTTATGTTACTTTGAGGCTTTAATTCCTGCATGATGTCTCTGAGGAGACCGGTAAACGTTAGGTGGGAGAACTAGTCTCCCTCTAATACTATTTTCTACCTTTGTAGTAATACAGTAAATACAGCGCAGGCACTATACTAGCGCACCTAGATGAATTGTCAAAGGCAGGAGTTGAGGCACTACTGCAAAGATTCCCTGTGCTGAGAACATCTCATTGCAGCTATAGCAAACGTTTTGCTCCCTTCGAGCTGTTCCTGGACAGTGGAAGCGGGAAGTACTACATTGCTGGCCAGTTGTACCTGCTCTGGGAAAGCTTTCAAAAGCCTAGATCATTACCTAGATCATTCAGGCAATATTTTGATACCAACTTCTACAGAAACTCCATTCTGTCATCAATCCAAAGTACAGCAACTAAAAACTAATTTTGAAACACCTTGTTTTATGCTTCTTTCCTGAGCAAGGCCCAAAGAAAATACGTGATTCAACACTGAGGCAGGCATGCTCTTATCAGTGTTGTGAAGCTGCTGGAATGAGATGTCTGCAAGTCTTCCAGAGAATGCCAGCTTCAGATGCTGTTGCAGGATTTCTGTGTCATTGGGCCCTAGGTGTTTGCAAGGCACCTTGGAACAGGACTTCTGGTTGTATTAGTGTCTCTTGAGGTACTATGCTTCTTACTGCATGTGACATCACTGTTAACGTTAGCTTTTAAGTTGTCTTATCATGAGGTTTGGGAATATATTTCTCAAGAAAGAGCTTTTTAAACTTTTTTTCCTCTCTTCCTACAGGCTGATGAAGATCCTATCATGGGATTCCACCAGATATTTCTATTAAAGAACATCAATGATGCCTGGGTTTGCACCAATGACATGTTCAGGCTAGCATTGCACAACTTTGGCTGAGCTGGCAACCCCGAGGCACCTGTGCTTTTTTTTTTTTTCCTCCTCTCCTCTTACTGGTATTATTCACACTCACGGAACATTCCAAATATCATACACAAACCTGCAGCACTGCAGAGCGTGAGCAAGCAAGACCTGTGACCTGCCCTTCTGCTGAGTTTACATTGTCACTAGATGAGTTTCTTGTGCATGATGTTTGGAAGTTAGACTTAGCTGCATTTGACAAGAGAAATTTGTGTTGTACCAGCATGCCTCGGAAAGAATTTATAATGCAAAAGGTTGTTGTTTATGTACTGACAAGATGCTCTATAACCCAAAGAAATGAAAGAACAGCAGCCTGTACAGCCCAGATATTGATTTGTTCAGATGTTTCAATGCTACATTACACAATAAAACCATGAGATTTTCTTAACAGTTTAAATTGTTTTAATGAGTTGGATATGGAGTATATGATATCGCTTGCTTTGGCTATCTCATATGTGCCTGGTGGGGAAATGCTTACAAACCTAAACTTCAAACTGAAGAGCACTTGATAGTTTTACCAATGAAGGCGGTTCAGGTACACCCTTGGCCATGCAACTTCTTTTTCCCTCCCTCTCAGTAGGTTTTGTAACAGAGACTTCTAGTTCAGATTTTAACATCGACAGGTTAGTTCTCAGCTGTTGTGTTTTACCAAGGCAAATGCCTCAAATAGTACACAAGGATGACAACAGTCACGGTAGCCTGTGGTTAATCTTTGTGACGTCTATTAAGTTCACCTTCAGAGCTAAACACGACGGCTGTATTGTCTTTGTCGGCAGACACACAGGATGTCAGTCTGGCACTGCCCTCCTGGAGTTTGTGTCCAGCTCTAAAGCCTTGGCCAGGTTGGTGCTCTGTGCTGTCTTTCTAGTATCCCCTCATTATAATTTGAGTAGTGCGTTCGCTGTGCAGTTTTTTACAACATGGTTGGCTGTCATGTGTCCTCCACCCTAGAGGTGGTGGTATTCCAGCAGTGAAGGGATTTAGTAAATTAATCTTTCCGGCATATGAGATGGCACAGGAGCAGAATCGCATTCACTTTACATTCAGACGTCACTAAGCTATTAGGCCTCAGTTTTCAGGGGATTAGCATGCCTTGCTGAGCTTGCTTTTAAAAAGTATATGAACTTGGCATTTGCCTTTTTGAGACTTGTCAAGAAAGCCTGGGATGGGGTGTGCTCAGGCTGGGTCATTTCTCAAATCTGGCTGCTTTGGCCTCTGAATTGGAACAGAGCTTTTTTGGAAGCTGGTGTTAGGGGCCTCCTGCTCACTATTGCAGCGTTCTCATATATTCCCTGTTGCAAATGCAGGACTGTTCTCCTGTCGCTGCTGCTATGCTATGAAAGTCATGCTCAAGATTAATCACTTGAAGAGATGAGCTCTTTCAGTAGAAGGAGGCATTTTGTATGGTCACTGCTCAGCAAGGGTCCTTATGTTGTAGCTCCAGATCTAAATGAAGCCTGGCAGGGGAGGGAGGATCTAAGAATAGGTCTGGCTTATGAACCTTGCCCTGCAGAAGGAACTGGTCTGCGAGGTCAGGGCAGTCCTTTGCATAACAAGCTCAGTGAGCCAGGAGAGAGCTTGGTTTAAAGTCAGGTTCAAGGAACAATCCATGTGGTAGGTGTCAGTTTAAAAACTATATAAAATTAGATTCTTTTAGACCATTAGAAGTTCAAAGCCGTTTTCCCCCGAAATTGGTCATGTAGATTTTTCGGGGGCTCTTTTTCCTGCCTTTCTCCACACAGTCATTCACTCCAGGCTCCTTACTGGGAAGAGACCAACACCAGTGTTTTGGTGTTGGTAAATCAAAATCAGTATTGCTTAGTGTTTTTGACACCTGCAGATCATTTTTGAGGCCCAATATGTTTGCCGTCTCTTAACTCTCGTTTCTGGTACCCATGTTTAGCGCAAATATTAGGCTGAACGCCAACAGCCTCCTCCCGAGTCAGGAGGCCTGTGTGGAGAGATGGCCAAGCTGCCCGTGGGATTATTTCTACCCCCTAAACAACCTGCCTCAACCCTTTATGAGCGAGACTTTAGGTATCCCCTCATGCTATTGCACGTAGCAGGAAATCACACTGGCCCTAACGCCCGCGCCACCGACGACGCGCTCCGAGGGGGCCTGAGGCGCTGTAGGCCCTTGAGGCCTGCGGCAACGGGCTCCCCCTCAGCGCCCTGGCGGGGCCAGCGGAGACCCGGCCCCGCGGGCCGGAGGAAGGGGGTAGGCGGGGGAGAGCTCCCG